CTCCCTCCCAGCCGACCCCCGAGACGGCCTCCAGCAGCCCAGGCAGAGAGGCTGCCACGCAGCAGGGGGGGCGGTACAGAAGCAGGACTCCCAACTGTTCACGGGAGCCCAATCTAATGAACAGTGTCTCACAGCCAGAAACCTGGGGAGCAGCACCCCTGAAGGCCACCAGAGAGTCCCGGATAACAACAGCCACCCCTCCTCCCCTGTCCTGGGGTCTCGGCTGGTGCCAAACTGTAACCTGGCCAGGGACATTTCTGAAAGGGGCACCCAACCAGGTCTCAGTGATACATACCAGGTCTGCCCCCTCCTCGGTGATCAAGTCACATATGAGGGGGGCCTTGTTTTTAACTGACCTGGCTGGCATTAAGCAGCAGCAGCCAAAGGCCAGGGCCCCTACGAACCAGCTGACCAGGGCCTGGGAGCAAGCACAGAGGGACACAGAACACACCACCGGTAACACACACCGGGGACATCTTCCCCTCCAGCTCCCGCAATATCGTCCCCTACCCATCACCACCTTAATATTGTAGCCCCCCCACATAGTCCCTGGGGGTTCTGGGCCCAGATACCTCCAATCCTGGACCTCTGGGGTCCCTAATCCGGGGCAAGGGTCCCTCCTTCCAACCAGTCATCCTCATTCACACCCAAACGCTCACAGGTGAGGGAGGGTCGCCCCGGCACACCAGCTCACGCTCTCGGTGCCACCAGGACCCACCCCCCACCGAACCTTACACTCCCTCACACCCTCTACCCCCCTGCATGACCTCTCTCACTAGTCGGCAGGGTGGGCATCCCACTCACTCCCTCACACCCTCTACCCCCCTGCATGACCTCTCTCACTAGTCGGCAGGGTGGGCGTCCCACTCACTCCCGCACACCTCCTGTCTCCCGCCCAGAAGGTGGATCCTAGTGTCCTCATGCACTCCCAGACTCCCTCCCAGACTCTCACTCCCAGGAGGGAGTCCCAGACTCACACTGGAAGGACCCTGCGGTTCTCCACTGACCCTGGGGGGGAGTTAAATGGGGGTGGCTGGGTTCTAATCCCCAGTTCATCAGTCTTAAAACCAAGGGCTGTTGGCTTTGTAACATGCCCTTGTTATCTCCCATATAGACTACTGCAATGCGCTCTACATGGGGCTACCCTTGAAGAGTATCTGGAAGCTACAGCTGGTCCAGAACGCAGCCGTGTGGGCTATTTTTGGAGCCCCAAGAAGGACCCATGTAACGCCGCTGCTCCATGAGCTGCATTGGGTCCCAGTTTGCTTCCGGGTCCAATTCAAGGTGTTGGTTATCACCTTTAAAGCCCTACATGGCATGGGACCAGGTTACCTGAAGGACCGCCTCTCCCCCACGATTTCAACCCGTCCCACCCGATCACACAGAGAGGGGATGTTTCAGACACCCTCGGTAAAAGCTCCAATCAGCGGTGTCCAGAAGGCGGGCCTTCTCGGCTGTGGCCCCCGCCCTTTGGAATATCCTGCTCCCGGAGGTGCGATTGGCCCCCTCGCTCCCGGCCTTCCGGAGGGCTTTGAAGACCTGGCTCTGCCACTTGGCCTGGGGTGGGGAGGGAAGACATCAAGCGTGAGGTTGGCGAGCCCCTTAGAGCCCTGGCGTTTGCTGCTCTCAACCATCGGCCTCCTGGACTCTTCCTTTTTTAGTAATTGTTTTGCACAGGTTTTAGGTTTTGTGTAATTTTATATATATTTATTGTTTTAAGGGATCATGTGAGCCGCCCAGAGTCCCCCATTAGGGGGAGATGGGCGGGGATAAAGGAAAGGAAAGGAAAGGAAAGGAGGGAGGGAGGGAGGGAATGAATCATGGGGGTGGGGGGGACCTAAAATGGCACCACCTCACTGCATCTATGTGGGATGTTCTTCCATAGGATGCCAGACAGCAAGAAGCAGGTGAAGGCAGCTACCAGATTTCCCATTCACACCAGCTGAGATTCTTGATGCTGCTGCCTCGCTTGTGGAGGAACCAGCCTGAGAGCGTTCACTGTTTTCAGGTATATAAGGACCTATGCAAGGCCTGGGATTTGCAGTGCGGCCCAGCTTTACGTGAGAAGGTTTGTTCCAAAAGGAGATGGAGGGCAGCCACCACTGACTCGGGGGGGGGGGCGTGCTCGCAATAGTGCACGTGAGGCAGTAGAGCAGAGACGCTGCCTAACCACAAAATGCTTGTGCCAGCAGAATTTGGAATACACCCATTTGATATGGAGCAGGAAAAGACAAGCGGGCCCTATTTGACCCTCAGTGTGAGTCAAAATTGGCCTCACGTCCTAAATAAGTGGTTAGTGGGGCACCTTCATGGCAACGTAAACAGGACATGAATATGAGTCCTCAGAAAAAAGGAGAGAAGGGGAAGGCACAGTCCTGGGGATGAGCCAATCGTCTGTGATCAGAAGACGGCAAACTCAGTCAGTAACTGAGAGGAAGGCCTGGGAATGGCAGTCCTGAGGTGCCAAGGTGAGGGGTGGGCATGCAGGCCATTCTTGGTGCACCTTGGGAGGGAGAAGCCCCCCAGGATGGCATTTGCATGCATGGGGCCCACTGGTGGCCACCCTCCATTGTGGAACTCCAAGGATTCCAGGGGAGGGAGGTGGGATGGCAGCCACCTGGTTCCCAGTGGGGAGGAGGAAAGGGGGCAAGCAGAGTCCGTGGAGCCCCTCCCCTTCACCACTCCCACACAGCTCACTGGCCTTTTATGCCGGCAGAGGCTACGACTTCCTTGATGCCCAGCGCTGGTCTTGCCAGCTTGGGGGCTCTCTGGGAGCATCCAGAGCCATTCCCAGGTCCAGCGCTTCCTCTCCAAAGCCCAGGGCCACAGCCCTCGGGGTGGGCAGAATGGCCCACCAATGCCTCCTTTCCTTTACCTCCAAGCTGGACATTACTGGGGAGAGGGCAGAGGGAGCACCCTAGGATGTGCTCCTGCCCACCATGGCTCCTGAGAACCCCCTTCTGACGAGGCCCAGAGCCAAACCCTCGCTGCCAGTCCCTGGCACATTTGCAGCCACCTGTCCCAGCTGCCCACTGGCGGTGCCTCCAGGCCCTCCCTGCGGTCTCCAGCCCTGCTTGACCCAGCTGGAAGCAGTGGGGCTGGCCAGCTGCTGTTCCCGGCCCCTCCCTGGGAGACCGGCAGTAGCGCCAGCCAGCCGGGGCAACGGGGGAAGGCAATTATAGCTCTTGGGGTACTAAAAATAGCTCCGGCAGGAACAAGGCCGGTTATTTATAGCAGCGGCTCTGAACTTTGTTCCAGAGGCATCTGAGACTTTTGCCCGGAGCAGAGCAGGGAGAAAAGGGTGCCAGCCCTCCCACACGGACCAAGCCAGCTCCCTGCGGCAAAAGAACTAGAGTGGGGGGGGGGCGGGGGAGAAAATATTTTGGAGATACCAACACACACACACACCCCTCCCAAAATGCATTCCTTCCAAAGAATCAAATAGGTGCAGTTACTCCCTTCTGCCAACCCATTTTGTACGAACAACCGTTGGGAAACAGGATATTGATGTTCATGATGAGAAGGAAAAGGGAGTTGAGATTCTCACAGCAGCCTCCTGGATAAGGGACAGATCCCGCCCTGTCAGGAGCTGTGCGTGGCCACCCCACTGTCCTTTACAGGATGCCCCGCTCAGGCCCCGCGCCCAGCCCCTCCGCCCTGCCCACCTCTGAAGGCCCACTGCTGCGAAAGATGGGCTGGCAGGCGCCGGGGGGGGCGGGGAAGTCAGATGAACCTCCCAAGGCCTCCAGGGCCGGCACCTCCGCCCGAATCACAAGCCACCTTAAAGCCTGACCCCTGATCTTGGTATGCGAGCGCCAGAAGGGCTTACCCAGCCTGAGGGCATCCCTTGGGCAAGCCGCCCGCCCGCCTGGCACGCCAGCGCTGGTGGCCGTTCTTGAGTGGGCTCCTTCCTTGAGCTTTAAGTGCCGGGGAACACGGGGGACGCTGGCCTGACAGGTGGGAGACTCCTGGGGACCAGGGAGTGCTGGCTGGGTGGGAGTGCCCCTTCCCCAAGACGGAGCCCCGGAGCGCCAGAGCGCCAGCCTGGGGATTCCCCTTCCCTGAAGGAGAAAGGTCTGGGCTGGCCCTCTCCTCCTCGCCCCCAGGGCCTCCCCAGGAATGGAGCAGTGCCTGGAAGCCTTTCAGAGGGGCAGCAGGGGGCACCCAGGAGCCCACAGAAGGAAAAGGGTCCCGTTTGCTCCAGTCCTTCTTAGCAGTGCAGAGGCAGAGCCATCCCCTGGAGGAGGCCTGGGCAGAAGGTGCCCCCTCCCCAAAAGGGCTCCTTGGAAACTGCCCCCCCCAGCAGAAATTAGAGCGGTGCCAAAGGCAGCTGCCTTCCCAAGCCGGTGAGAGGAAAAAGAGACTTTCCAGCAAAAGTGAGGTTTTATTCTGTGTGTTATCAATTCACTTTTTTAAAACAGCAACCCCACAACATGTTAAATACTATGCAAGAAAATAAGTCTATGGCACACTGGAAAACAGATTACAAAAAGGAATGGAGCAGAAATTAGCAAGAAAAGATGATCATGCCCAGATTACAGACACAGCTTTTCACTTCCTATAATGCCCTCTTTTATAAACCTCGTTCTTTTTGGCAACAATGTTAGAATTTGGCAAATAAGAACAATGTTTAGCACTTTTTTTGGGGAAAAACTAAATAAATGCATTTGTCATCTTGGTGAATTAAAAAATAAACTGCTGGTCTTAAACCACTTGAAACCGTTTGGTGAACGAGAGGGGAGGCCTGGATGCCTCTGCAAGGCCTGGATTTCCAGAGGGTGGAGATAAGGGGGGCCCTGGGAGGAATGAAGGCAAAGTGGGGGAGGGTCCTGGGTCCTCATAGCTGGGGAGGGGGTGCCGCCCAGGGCCGGATTTAGGCATAAGCTAAACAAGCCACAACTCAGGGCCTCACAAAGTTCCAGATTTTTTTTTTTTTGGCTTCTGGAATTTTATGTGGCTTTTTAAGTGTACTGTAGATTTTAAAATCTTGCGTAGCAAATTGTTAGGTGTAGTTTTAAAATGACTTTATATGTAATTAATTTAAGTAATACTTTAAGCCCAAATTTTCTATGTTTTCAGGTTTACAGCGAAGGGAACATTTGAGAGCAGGTACTCTCCATTTTTGGGGGGCGGCCCAAGGTCTAGCGAGGCCCCGCAGGCTTTGCATAGCTTAGGGGTTCGCCGAGTCTAAACCCGGCACCGGGCCAGCCTGCCTCCCTGTGCAGTCTGACCGCGGGCACAGAGCTCCTGCCCCATGGAAGATGCCCTGCTCCAGCCCTGAGAACTTGCCTTTGGCCCCCTGGAGCACAGCCCCTCCTACAGCCTCTCTTTAGGGCGGGGGGCGTGAACCCCGCCTGGGCCAGCAGGCAGAAGCAGCGCAGGCGGAGGGGAAGGGGGCTGCCTTTGGGGGACAGGCCAGCCAGCCTGCCTGCCTTCCGGCACCCGCGGCTGCTCCGAGCTCGGTGCCAGGGCTCAGGCTGCCCCAGAGAGCCACGGGCGAGGGACCATCACCCACTATGCTAGATAAGGAGCGAAAATGGAATGGGGAGAGGGAGTCAAGGACTTTGAATTGCTTCCCAAGCATGGGCGTCCCCCCCCAGCCGAGGGTTAAGGAGTGCCCCCCCTTGGGGGGAAGCAGCCTCCCCCAAGTCTTGGCACAGAACAGCGGCCATCGCTCTGCTGTTCCATCACGGGGTGAAGCAGTCGGGTGGGGGGGTGGCCCAGAACTGGTGCCCATCCCCATGCCAACATCATGTGCTCCCTTGGACTGAAGGAGGGGGCTGCAAGGGGAACTCCGCCCACCATTCACCTCCTTGGAGTCCTTCCGCCCCAGATCCTCCCCACCCAGGAAACAGGGTCCTTGCATTGATGGGAAGAGCTTGCTCTGGGAGCACCCATGAATGGCCAAGGACCCTCCCCATGCAGGCTGGGGGGTGCCCTTCACCTCGGCCCAGACCAGGTGCTTGGAAAGGCGGGGTGGAAAGGGGGCCGCAGCAGAGGGCCCAAAAGGGCCTGGCCGGTCTCAATGCCTTGCCTTCTGGAAGCCGAGGGAGCCCCTGCCAGGCTGGGGGGTCCCGAGAGCTGCACCCAACAAGAGGGGCTTCCTCACGGACCACTTCCAGCAGGGGGAAAGGAGTGCAAATCCTGGTCCTGCAGCTTCTCTGGCTTTGCCCTGGTGGGGGCCTGGACTTGCCAATTCCACACGCCCCCCCCAGCCTCAAAAGTGAGGCCTCATTCTGTTCAGCTGCCAAGAACCACCGCAGATTCTCTGCTGCTTGTTGGGACCCAGACACGCCCCCCCCCCACATCTGTCCCTGCATCCAGCCTGCTGGCACCCCTGGGGCTCCCCCTAACCTCATCCTGTTTCTGCTCTTTGCCCGCTGGTCCGGGTCATGCTCCCCTCTTGGGGAGACCTGGGAGTGATGTAACCGCCAGGTGGACCACCTCATCTTCGCCCAGAAGGTTCCTTTGCACCAGCCGGGCAGGCACCGCTGGGGGCACAGGAAGGTGTCCCGGCCCCTCAGGGGGCCATCTCCTTTCTTATCTGCTTCTTGGGCAAAGTGGGTCTGGTGCTTGCTTGGGGCAAAGGGATGTAACCCTCTGTGACCGGCCCCATCCTGGGGGTTCAAGCGGGTGCTCCTCTCTCTCTCCCTGGTGGGAGGGGGAGTGATGGATGAATGAATCACGCACACACGTGTGCACACACACACCCTGCTCTGTAGGAAGCTTTGGCTGCGATATTCCTGGCAAGCCTGAACGGAAGGAGGGGGCACCGGGGGCTCTTTGCAAGAGGGGAGAGTGGGAAGAGACCCCAGGTGAGAGTCCATTGGGGTGTGGGGTGATCAAAAGCATCATCGGGAGAAGAGACGGCATCACGCTGCTTGGCGTGCCCCCCTCTCCTCAGCAGTCTGGGACGGGGAGGGCTGCTGGAAGGCCCCCCTCGCCTCCAGTGGGGGCCTTGGCCCACCCCAAACCTGCCGAGGTCTCAGGGTCTCCAAACGAGGGGGTGTCCTTAGTGCCAGACAGACTGGCTTCTTGCGGGGTTCCCTCCCAAGACGGCCCCTCAAGCACGGTCCGGCACCGTCCCTCCCACTGACCCCCTGGCCCAGAATTTGGTCATCTGCAGACCGGGCAAGACATCCCTGCTCCTCCCTCCTGGGGGCTTGTCCTGGAGTGGCAGGCCAGCTCAAGCAGAAGGTCCTGGGGAAGAATGCCAACCCCCCTCCCTGGACACTGGCACAGCTCTGGAAAGGGCTACCCCCCACCAGCTCCTCATCCCCCCCGGCCAGCGCTCCAGCTTGGTTCCAAAAGGGCCTTGGGCTGGTGGGCTGGTGGGCACCAGCTGAACTCTGCCCGTCGCCCTAAGGCCCATGCGTGCTGTAAAACTGGCCTGGCTGGAGGTCAAGGCAGGCTGGTACCCGGCCCGGAGGCCATGAGGGCCCGGCCCAGGGGGTGCTATAGGAGGGTGCATGGCTTCTTGTCCTTGAAGGGGTTCTCCGAAGCTGGGATGCCAACCAGCAGAGGGTCGTTCCTGGCCTGCTGCTCACAGTAATTCATCAGCTCCGAGGACGCTTTCGAGACCTGGGGAGGGAAGGGAGCCAAGTCAGCAGAGGCTGCCACAAAAGAGGCTGCTTTTCTGCCCCCCGAAGAAGAGAATTCTGGGGGTGTACAGATCTCACTGGAGCTCCCAATCCTGAAATGTCCATGGGTGGAAATGGCTCTCATCCCGTAGAGGCCCTCACCCATCCCATAGCTGCTGGGCGCGCACGGAGAGGGGGCTAAGGCCATCCAGTCCAGTCCAGCCTGCTCAGTGCAGCTGCCAGCCGAAGCCTCCAAGGAAGGGAGGCCCCCCAGCTCAGTGGCTCCCTCTCACTGCAGGGAGGTTTTCCCGACCTTCAGCTGGAACCCACGAGCCCAGGGCCTGCACCCTGAAGGAGAGAGGAGGGCCGACTTTCCTTGGGGGGACGCTGAGGGCTGGCCATCCTCTCTTGCAAAGCCACACCTGCCCACTAGTTTCAGCCCCCCGAGCGCCCTTGTTGCTCTTCCCTTCAAGAGCGCTGGACCCAGAACTGGAGCCCACAGGGAATAAGCCTCAGCCCTTACTTCTGGGGGCTCAGCTTTTCTAAATCAGGTTGCCACCACCCACGTTCAAATGACTCCAAGAACCCACTAAACCTGGTTTTGACCAAAGACTCTGGTCATTGTCTCAGCCAACCTTCACCCTGCTTCTCTAGTGTGTTACGATCCATGGCAGCTTCTTGTGCGCAAAGGCCTTCTTTCTCTGTCCCAAATCTCTCCCCGCCCAGATCCCTGAGTAGCAACCGAGGCAAAAAAGGATTTTCAGCAGGCATTATTTTACCTGCCTCTGCAACTGGGCTCAGCACCCCAAAGATGTTCCCCCTTTAATGGGTGGATACAATGTCCCTGTCTAAGCACGATGGGGGCCCAGAGACCCTCCCAATTACCTGAGCAGCTCCACCACTGTGTCCGGGAGAAAAACACACCTGGCCACACACCCACTTTCTCCATGGGCACCCGTGCCCCGTGCTTCCCCACCAGCCAACCCCACCTTTCCAGCTCCCCCGCCCCACCCAGGGCTGCCTCACCAGGCCCCACCTTTATCCTCTCAATCCCGGCCTCGATCCGCAGCTGCTCCACCAGCTTCCGGGCCTGCGCAATGTTGTTAGTGGCCGACATCGTGTGCCATCGAGTCTGGCTCCACCAGCACCTAGGACGCGGGGAGACAAAAGCACAGGAAGGGGACGCTTGGCTCCTCGCCCTGCTCCGCCCCTTCCTCGAGAAAAGGGGGCCGCTCCCTTGGGGTGGCTCCAAGGCTGCTCTGGGGTAGCAGAGTTGCCCCCGTCTCTCTGGAGACAGGTGTTCCTGCAGGGGCACTGCCAAAGGTCACAGCGGCAGCACTATGGGGCACCCTAAGGAGGTGGGTGTCAGCTGAGATGCAGCAGGACTCTCGGCGCAGGGGAGGGGGCGGGGGGAGACTCAAGGGTGTTTTATATTCCTTCCCCTAGAAGAGAATCTCTGCAGCTCAGGGTTGAACCACAGAGTCCTTGGCGCTCTCTGAGCTGGGTGGTTTGCTTGCGGGTGTTTCATTACCCAGCTAGGTGGCATCATCAGTGCTGGTGAGGGTGGGGTTTGTCCCCTGTTTATATACAGTAACTTGCCCTCCCATTGCAGAAAAGACCACCAGGCTGGAGAAGAAGCCAGCTGGCCAGCCTGGCAAGGGATGCCCAGTCCCAGGTTCCCTGAGGTGGAGAGGCACCTCCCTTGGGGGGCCTGGGGAGCGGGTTCTGCACGTGCTGGCCACAGCTCCAGCACGGACGCTCCCCCCATGCCCAGTCATAGGCAGCAGCTCAGAGGACCGCAGGTGGTGCCTGAACAGCCGGGAAAGGCTGCTCCCCCCCATCCCTCCAAGACCGCCCTCCTGCTCCTGAGGAGCCCCTTCCTTGCCCAAAAAGCACAGGCGAGCTCACTGCCGCCAAAAGCGGTGAGGGCCACAGACCCTCCCCAGGCGGGATGAGGCTCATTCCCGAGAAAGCGGCTACGGGCTCCTAGGAGCCTCCAGGGCAGAGGCACTCTCCCTCCAGCAACCAGTAAGCGGGACCGGGCACTGGGCACCAACCGATCCCCTGGCCTTGGCTGGTCCTTCCCATGCAGGGAGAGGCCGCCGGGCAGGCTTTTGCTCCCGTCTGCCCTCGGGGCCCTGCAGCTTTCCTCCTCCTCCTCCGCTCAAGACAAGCCCAGGAGGGGCTGCCGGGGAGGACCGATTCGGTCGGAACTGATCCCGGATTTAAAAAGAAAAAAGGAAGCAGCAACCCGTGGCCGAGGACCCAAGGCGGGGGGCGGATGCGGGTCTGGCTTTTCCCGGAGGCCCCTCCGCGGACGCCCGACGGTGCAGCCGCGGGGCCTCCCCCGCTCACACGCCCACACGCCCTGGTTCTGGGCCAGGGTCTGCGGCCGAAAGGGGGGATGCCAAACCACGGCAGGGAAGCCCCTGACTCAGGGCGCCGGAGAGGAAGGCAGGCCCTCCTGAGAAATCCCCCGGCGCCCCTCCCCACAAGGGAGCAGGGACCGAGGCGCTGCCCGGCGCCTGGGCAGCACCGCCCTGCTTTCTCAGCCCCGAGGGGCCGCCGCCCGCCTCCCTCCGGGCCGGGATCCGCCGCAGGCGCGCCCCCGCCCCCTTTCGGGGCTCCTTCGGCTGGCTGTGTCCTTGCGCCCCCCCGCCCCGGAATGCACCTCGACCAAATGCAGCTCGCGGTTCGAGGGTAGGTCGTCGCCCCCCGGCAGGGAGGCTGGGGAGCTTGTTAGCGGCTTCTGGGCCGCCACCTGCAGCCCTCCGGCCGGCCAATCGCCGGCTCGCCGTCCTCTCCTCCATAAAGTGGGTCCAGCTGCTGCCTCTC